GACAAACCCCTGGGGAGTGGGTCGGGACTCCTGGGCACGAGAATCGGTGAGAAAAACAAGTCTCGGATGTCTTGGTTCCAGCCCCCCGCGGCGGCGAAGGACAGGCCCGCGCTGGTCGCCAGCTTGCTGGCCTGCTCTCAGAAGCTCGACGCATGTGCCGGAAGGGCCGAACTTCGCACTGCCGTGGCCCAGCACCACAAGGGTGTGCATTTGCGGGGAAGGGGGGGGGGGCAGGGACACATTCTGCTCCACCGTGCGCCGACTCGCGCAGTGGTGCTCATGATCAGGCATCCCGTCTACGTTACATGCCGTTTCATCATGGCGTGGCGCTTTCTGCGTCGCCAGTCGAAGCAGCGCTGGTCATCATCATGTGCGTTACCCAGCTCGGTGGGCGAACGACCTGGGTCCTTCCAGAACGCTTGCAGGTTGCCGATGATTTTGGGGAGAGAAGATACAGAAACAACGAACGGTGACCTCCCTCCCGCGATCGAGATGACTGCGGGCCAACATCAAACATTGAATTGAGGAGGAGGAGGAGGAGGAGGAGGAGGAGGAGGAGGAGGAGCAGGGACAGGGGCAGGAGGACAAAGAGGAGGAGGGAGGAGGAGGAGGGGGAGGAGGAGGAGATGGAGGAGGAGGAGGAGGGGGGGAGAAGAACGAGAGGAGAATGTGGAGGAAACGAGCAGCAGGAGGAGGAGGAGGAGAGGGAGGAGGAGGAGCAGGATGAGGAGCAGGAGAGCAGAGGAGGAGCAGGAGGAGAAGGAGGAGGAGGAGGAGGAGAAGGTGAGGGAGAGGAGGAGAGGAGGAAGAGGAGGAGGAGGAGGAGGAGGAGGAGGAAGGGGAGAACGAGGAGGAGGAGGAGGAGGAGGAGGAGGAAGAGGAGCAGCAGGAGGAGGAGGAGGAGGAGGCGAAGGAGGGAGGGAGGAGGAGCAGGAGCAGGAGCAGGAGCAGGAGCAGGAGCAGGAGTAGAAGGAGGAGCAGAAGCAGGAGGAAGGATGAGGTTTGGGGCTGGAGCAGGCGGGGGAGGAGAAGCAGGAAGAGGGGAGTGGGAGAGGCGGGAGGACGGGCAGGTCGGCACCCAGTCGATCTCGCCCCTGCTCTGGGCCATCGAGACGGGAAGCCTGGAGGCCGCCAAGGCTATAATCCAGGACTTCCTTTTGTGACGTCCTGCCAAGAGAAGCGGGAGACGAGGACGAAGAGGAGGAGGAGAAGGAAGAGGAGGAGGAGGAGCAGGAGGAGGAGGGGCCAGGTGCCTTTTTGACCTCCCCCTTTTCCTGCCTCGCTCCCCCTCCCCGCCTCCCTCCTCACTGCCTCAAATCCTCCCCTCCCGATCCCTTTTCCGCCCTTCTTCAAACCACCTTGCTCTCCGCCCTCCATCGTCCCTCCCTGCACCTGTCTTCGCCCCTCCACAATTCCCTGGGATCTGACGACGGAAGACATGCAAGCTCACTCATTCTGTCTGCGGCATGTCGCGAGCCCGAACGATGTGCGAAGGCCCGAGGGCGCGAATTCGGGCGACAACGCTTGGAACGCAGAAAGATGCGAGGCCAGGATCTGATAATTCCTTCCGCCCACGAGCCAAGGGGGGACCAATCCAGGACCTTCTCACGATCAGGGCGGACCGGGACCGCTACTACTACGGCATGGACGCCATGTTCGAGCGGCACGAGGACACGGAGGAGGAACTTGAGAGGAGGCACGGCAGGAAGAGCAAGGGAAGTTGGAGGAGGAGGAGGAGGAAGAGGAGGAGTAGGAGGAGGAGGACGATGACGAAGAGGAGGAGGAGGAGGAGGAGGAGGACGAGAAAGAGGAGGACGAGAGAGAGGAGGACGAGAAAAAGGAGGAGGATGAGGAGGAGGAGGAGGAGGAGGAGGACGACGACGACGACGACGATGAGGACGAGGGGGTTGGTGCTCGGCGTGGTAGGCGTTGGGTTCGCCCCGTTCCCGACCCCCAGACGTCCCCTGGGGGGGTGCGCCTCGGAGCCCGACACGCCAGTGCCCCGAGCGTTCCGGAGAAGCTCCGCGAGGGCTGCTGAAAGAAGCTCCGCCTCCCGGGTCCTCGAGGGTCGACGCCAAGGCTCGGAGGAGGAAAAGGTAGCGATGCCGCTGCCCCTGCCTCGCGTTTCCCCCCCCCCCCCCTCTCTCGGGGGCGGCAAAGAAAAAAAGTAATGCCTGGGGGGGAGGGGGGATATCATGGCGGGGGCCATGATATCTCCCCAGATTTCATGGCGCCTCTTCTTACCGCAACACGTCCCCGGCCCCCCACTTGGCCGCGCACTTGCCACGGGCCATGATTTGCGCCCCCCCATCTTGGACGCAGCCCTCTTGGACGCCCCCGACTCTTGGGCATCCTGGGAGGCCCTCGTCGCCTCGTCGCCACCGCTGGATTCTCCTCGAGATTCTGGTCAGAGCGCACCCCTGGAGAGGTCCGGGGAGTAGTGGTATCGGTACCCTGTAGTTTCCCCGAGCACTCAGCAGTTGGGCGAGGATGACGATTCAATTTCGATCCGATCGATCCGGCTCGATATCGGCTCTGGCTGGTCCGATTCGAGTCGATTCCGATGTTTGGGCGATCCGATGCGTTCCGATATCTGCATGGCGCCGTTATTCATCCTGGCACCGCTGGCGCTCCGCGCGGTGCCAGACGTCACATACCGTCTGACATCATTTGAAAACGCGACAATGTTCATGGACTCCAGGTTTCGTTGAAGAAAATCAAGAATCTGGACTGGGCCCTGGGCATTTTCTTCAAGCTTTGTTTCTCGTAGGACGGTCGTATCCTTAGACTGTTGTTTAAGAAAGCGCGTTGAGTGCAGGCCACTCTCTTAGCGCAAACTTCTCTTCACTCGAAGCAGAAGTGCAGGCCGAGGATTCAACGCGACGTGCACCAGCGAAGGGGAGGAGCGAGGAGGAGGGCTATCAGTCGGAGGAGGAAAAGGGTACCTATACTGCTGCCCTTGGTTCGTTTTCCCCTGTCTCGGCATCCTGGGAGGCCCTCGTCGCCACCGCTGGGTTCGCCTTGAAATCCAGGTCGGAAGGCACCCCGGGGAGAGGTCCAGGACGTAGCAGTGTCGATGTCTCTTGGTTTCCCCAATATCAGGAGGAGCGATGGCCGTGCGAACAGAGCCCCCGCACCCACCGGTGGTCGAAAGTAGGCACTCCAGATTTCGTAATAAAGGGAGGGGGGTCTCATTTCGGGGGGGGTCTCTTCCAGGCTATCTTGGAGGGCCTGGGGGGGTCTGGGGACGATGTTTTGGAGGATTCTCCCACGGGGGGGGTCTGAAATGGCTTGTCTTGGAGGGTCCAGACCCCCTCCCTTTTATTACGAAATCTGGAGTACTTCTGGAGTCCCAGATCCCAGTCTACTTTGGGCGCCTGCCTGCTTCTGGAGTCGAACGGTTGTCCCCCGTCCCTCCTCTTCAGGGGGCGGGTGGAAGCCTAATCTACGTTCCACGCTTTCCAATGTCATACGTCTGCCCACATCTTCCGACCGATGGGTATGGGTTATTGGCCGAAGCGCGTGTGAGTGCCGAGTCTGGCAGGGGCGTTGACTGCAGAAGTCTGGGCCTGCCTGTGTTCCAGCCTCCCTCCTCCTCTCGAGCACGTGAATGTTGGCCTGGGTGGATATACTGCCTTGGCGCTTCCCCCTTCTTTCAGCACGGGGCTCGAACCTCTTTGCGCTCCATCGAGCACAAGCAGGCGAGGAGGAGGAGGAGGCGGAGGCTGGGCGACAACGGTGGGGTAGGAGGAGGAGCAGGAAGAAGAGGAGGAGGAGGAGGAGGAGGACAAGGAGGAGGAGGAGGAGAAGGAGGAGGA